ATCTGCTTTTGGGGTTTAAGAATCAAGTGATAATAAAAAGTATAAATAAACAATTTGGGGGGATTTGGGGGGATAGATCCACCCCCCTTCGTCAGTGAAATGAAACTTTTTATTTTTGAATTAATAACACAATACTATTTTACCCTTCCGATTTATAATTTTTTTTTTATTTCAGACTGATGACAAATTATCTTTTAATGAATATATAAAATTATCCGTTGGTGGATTATGTATTTAAATATTTGCGAAATACACTAGGCCATTTTGCTTAGTTCCCCACAGTGCACAGTGGGAGAAATGGTCAATCTAGCGGCGCTTTAGCGAAATTTTTAAATTCAGAATTCTCCAAATTTTGTTTGTTTTATTGAAAATTTATTTCCTAACGGGGTCTTTTCTGTTTTCGTTTTTGTTTTGTTCCAAATATTCGCATATCTGTGAGCTTTCGAATTTAACACATGTTTTAGCAAGTGCAATAATTACTATTTACCTATTTTTAAGTGCAATTTTTGTTGAACTGAAAAACTTAAATATACAATTTTATAATAAGATTTGTGACTTAATTATTATTATTTGGTATGTGTTAACCCTCGTCCGGGCGCATATTCTTACAACGCTAACCGGGCGCAAAGTTACAATTGTACCTTCATATAGTGTTGATATGAATTTTGACTGAGGTTTAATTTTTTTATAAAAACTGATAACATTTAATCATTACACGTTATTTGAACATGTTTACAAATTTTTTGTTATGACAATTGTTTAAAAAAAAAAGTAAAAATAGAAACACAGTAGCCTGCATAAAATGCACTCCGAAAAATGCACGAGTACACCACAACAATATGTACCCTCCATACATACATATGTATGTACTCAATATTTTTCATACTAGTGCAACCAGGGCTGCCAACTTGGCTCAAACCGTGCCATTTTTGGCAATATTTTACATCAAATGGCACTTAATTTTTCAATTTGGCACAAAGTGCCAAATGCTTGCGATCACAATTCTGGTTTAGCATCCTACATAATCTACAAAAATCATAACCCCCGGTTTCAGGGAAAAAATCAACGTCGAAAGTTTCTAAAAGATCTCTCCAATCAGCTATGCATGCCTTCAGTTGAATCTCGAAGTGCAAATCGAATGATGATCAGAAGCCATTTCCTTCGAAGTTCAATAGAAATGGTACTTGGCCGTCGCGTTGTGGCATCTACAGCAGCTGTCCTTCAATTACCTCATGGTAGCCGCGGATCCTCCCCTATCACTGGACGTTGCTATATCTGTCGGAACTCAAATAGGAAACAACGTAAAACTCGAATGCTTTGCATATCTTGTGCTTATCCAATTTGTGATGAACATTCAGTTTCAAAAACAACGTGTATTTCTTGCGAAGAAACTCTCTAAAAATTTCAAAATGTATATTCTAAATCGTTGTTCCTAAATTGAATTGTCTCGATTGTTACTTTTATATAGTTTATTATCGCTTCTTATATGAACTAGCTCCGTTTGTGTCTCTTTTTTTTATAAAAAAAATTATAATCTTCTTTTTTCTTCATACCAGATATATGAAGGTACAATTGTACCTATGCGCTTTGACGTGGGTGTAAATTTAACTCGGCCCTCTACTTCAGAAAATAGTGGCCCATTTTGTTTTAAATTAAGGGAACATGTGGCGCAACAAAAATGTAGAGATGTCACGAAGATCCAGCCCTCTAAGTTTTCTGGAAAAAAAGTTATTGTAATTTAAAAACGCAAAAGTTACAATTGTACCTAGTCGCACGGACGAGGGTTAAATAAAAAAAAAAGTCATTGTGGTCTGTTAATATATGTTTTAGATCTTTACAATGGAAAAAGAAATTGTCCTATATCAAAGTGTTTTTATATGTGTAATCCAATGTTCCGTAGAAAATAAGTGTGGTGGATTCGATGGGGTTCGATTCAATGTTTGTATAATTTGTTAAAATATGTTGTGGTCTACGTCTTGTCCAAAAATTTGGCTGCAAGTATTTGCAAGTTACTGATTTTTTTCCTTTTTTAGATACTATGGCAGAGTCTAAACGCACGCTTTTTTTAATATGGCACAGTGAACCAGTACCAACAAAAAAATTTCTAATGGTTGAAAATCATATATTTTCTAACGTCATTGATCGCTCAAAGTATAGTGAAGAGCAAACTCGCAAAATTCAAAAACAATTAAGAAATTTCATAAGCTAACTTGTAGAAAAGTGGAAAGAATGTCATAGGGTTATGTCAGTGTTCGAAGAGCGAAATAAGAAATGGTTGGATGAAAATATAATTTTTTCTAAGCCAACTGTTCATCACCGTATACAAAAACCTTTTTCAGAGTGTACAATGAAAACTCAAAAAAAAAAATTGCATCAGTTGTTAACGAAACACCTAACCAAGAGTTAATGGTAGCGGCAAGCGTAAGTCTTTACAAAGCTGGAAAAAGAAATGCTTCACAGGTTGTTTCAAAATTGTTTGAAGAAAGTTCGACTGCTTCGAAAATGCTTAAGTCTGTAAGCTCTGAACAAAAAACCCCAATTCCGTATACACCTGAGGAAGCTTTATCTCTTTATATAGATGGCGGATACTCAAAAAGGTCGTACAAAATAATGCAATATGGTGCCAAAGAACGAAACTGCAATATTTATCCAAGCTACGATATTTTACTTAAGGCTAAAACAGAGTGTTACCCCAGTGGCATACACGTAACTGAACTTTCAGCGGAAGTTGCCCTGCAAAGTCTTGTAGACCATACTGTTGCACGTATAGTACAAGGATTTTCCAAATCTTTTGAAGGTGTTTTGACTGCAGCCAATATTAATGACAGCATAAAAGCAATATTTAAATGGGGCTGTGACGGCAGCAGAGGTCACTCCACTTACCGTCAACGTTTTAGTGCTTCTGATTGTGAAATAACTGATGAGTATTTATTTGCTGTATGTATTGTGCCTTTACAAATTAAAAAAGGAGACGCTGTTCTATGGCAAAATAACAGGCCTTCTTCAACTCGGTTCTGCAGACCCATTAAAATAATTTTTGAAAAAGAGTCAGCGGAGTTAGTTAAGGTTGAGATAGATAATATTAAAAGGCAAATTGTAAGCATTGTTCCGACAAAGTTGAGTTTTTTCGAAGTAGTACATGAATTCCATTTAACAATGATTGATGGGAAAGTTTTTAACACTTTAGCGGGCTCATCATCGCAGGCCTGTGGAATTTGTGGAGCAACACCAAAATTCATGAATAATCTAAATAATGTTCAATTGAGACAACCACAGGAGCACTTGTATGAGTACGGATTGTCAACACTCCATGCTTGGATACGGTGCTTTGAGTGTATAATTCATATCGCCTATAGAATACCCATACAAAATTGGCAAATTCGTGGAGAACATAAAGAAATCGCTCAGCAAACCAAAAGAAAGATTCAACTTGAGCTAAAAGAAAAAATGGGTATATTGGTGGACATTCCCACGAAAGGATCAGGCAATACAAACACTGGGAATACTGCAAGAATATTTTTCCAGCATCCAATTTTAGCCTCTACAGTAACTGGCGTAAAAGTAGAACTTATAAAAAGGTTTGGTATAATTTTGCGTACTATGGCATGTGGGTATGCAGTTAACATAGAGGCTTTTCGCATATATGCTTGGAATACAGCAGAATTATTTGTTTCCGAATATCCTTGGTTTTATATGCCTCCATCTGTACATAAAATATTAATACACGGAGCAGATATTATTGAAAAAGTTTCGCTACCAATAGGAATGATGTCAGAAGAGGCACTTGAGGCAAGAAATAAAGATTTTCGCAGTTATAGACGGAACCATACGCAAAAAAACTCAAGGTTGAATACAATGGAAGACTTAATACACACTCTTTTAGTTTCTTCAGCTCCTATTATTACATCTAAGTCTAAAAGCACCTCCAAGTACTCCAAAAATCACATTGAAATAGATGATGAGGTCAAAAACCTTCTTTTTTTTTTATGATCTACCAGACGGCAGTAATTCTGAGAGCTCCGACTCTGAATACTTTTTTTTTCTAATAAAACATAAAAACATATAAATAAATAATTAACACATATTTTTAGAATAAAGTAATGCATTTTTTCATTGTATTTAAGAAGCTATTAAGAAAGCGCCGCTGGATTGACCATTTCTCCCACTGTGCAGTGTTGGGAAATAAAATTGTTCCTTCAGTACGAAATCTATACAAAAACTCTACTTTTCGACTGTAAATTGTATCGACTTTTTAATATGCTCATATGCATGCATGCATACATAAGTTCCCTTCAAGACCAAAGATTTGATGGTATTCATGGGAAAGTTTATGTAGGTACATTTACATATTTTGCACTTTTAACATAAATGTCAAGGCAGATATTTTAAGATACACTTCTTAACAAACACATTTTTTAAGTTATTATGAATGGATAAAAGAGACATCTTCTTTGAATTCAGTACTAAAACTTGATATTTCAAGTGCTTATCAAAACTTTGTACATGTTAACTAGATTCGCCATTTATCTTAAAATTATTAGGGTACTCACAGTTTACTTCTAAAGTTAAAAGGTGGCAACTTTAACAAGATAACACACTCGAACTGTGAGCAACCCTTATGTTTAAATAAAGTATTAAGTTGATCAACAATACCACGCATTGCTACACCGTTTGCCTTTCACGCGTTTGTGTTTAGAGAGCATCAACAAACCACATACATATTTCTCTCTATTCTCTCTTCTCTTTTTTATACTCAGCTAGCACAGCGAAAAAATAAAAAATAAAATAACCTTTGCCAGCTCCAGGCAGGCGCAAAGAGAAACTTATGTACAAGCAGCGCTGCGCCCAAAGCGAAATTCATGTATGTATGTACAAGCAGCGATAGATGCCAGTTTAACACAGAACATAAACATGAGACAAAGTCTAGTAATTTTGCCCAAAAGTGTTATCTCTAATTAGTATGGGAACCAACAACAAACAAAGTTACCACATGGTAAAATGTTTTAAAGTTACCAGGTGGCAAAATTAACACAGTAGATAATATAGAACTGTGAGTACCCTATATATAATTTTAATTATTTGTTTATACAAATGTAGTTTACACTTTAACAAAACTCTTATAAATCCAAAGTTCAATCTTTGCGCAACATTCAAAAATCAACAAACTTTCGTAAAGATTTTTAAATAGATTTCCTAAAAATACATATTTTGAGCAGGGTTGTTGCGAATATTCGCATTCGCAAACGCGGAGCTTCCGCATTAATATTAACATTCGCATTCGCTTTCCCATTCGCAATAATCAATGCGGATCTTTTGCGAATGCGAATAGTGAAGGGACGAAAGCAACAGTTATTTTCTTTACGAGTTAGACTTTGCTAAATATTTTTAATTCCCAACTAAAAGTCCTTTCCGGACAATAAACAAACCACTTATGCAAATTAAACAAGTTTGGTATCAAATAAAAGAGGACTTAAATAGCTTTAGAACTGAAATACCTAAACAAGCAAAGTCACATATTGCAATAAAAAAGGAACATTCCAGCGCCTTAGTCTTGGTCTGCAGGCTGTATCGGAGATACAGCCGCTAACTTTAAACGTAGAATACGTTGTATGGTTAAGAGCATATCGAAGTCAAAAATGAAAGCACACACTAAGAAACAAATATCGATAACAATATCGATAACAAATTCGATAAAAACATCGAAAAAATCGATGAAAATATCGATATCAAAATCGATAATAACATCGATAGCAAAATCGATAACAAAATCAGTACCTAAATCGATTACAAAATCTATCAAAAATCAATTACAAATTCGATAATAAAATCGATAACAAGATCGATAAAAACATCAATAACTAAAACGATAATAATATCGATACAAATATCGATAACAAAACCGATAAAAATATCGATAACAAAAGCGATAATAATAGCGATAGCAGAATCGATAAAAATATCGGTAGCAAAACCGATAAAAATATTGGTGACAAAATCGATAAAAATATCGATAACAAAATCGATAAATATATTGATAACAAAATCGATAGCAAAATCGATAATAATATCGATAGCAAAATCGATAACAAAATCGATAAAAAATTGATAACAAAATCGGTAAAACAACCAAAAGCGAAATCGAAAAAAAAATATCGACAAAAAAATCGATAATAATATCGATCATTTTATCGATAAGTTGCGATAATATCGATCATCAGTAACAATATCGATAACAAAATCGATAAAAATATTGGTAACAAAAGCGATAATAGTATCGATAGCAAAATCGTTAAAAGAATCAATAAAAATATCGGTAACAAAACCATTGTTGTTTCACTTCAAAATGTTTTCGCGTATTATTATACATGTGTTCATACATATAGTCACATACTGACCTAACCCACCACCCTTTCTCTTTATTATAGCCCGAACACAATGAAAACGACGAGCTACAAACCACAGCTGTCAAATTATTTTAACACGTGCTCTTATGTAGATAATTATTTTGGCCACGACCGGGTTACGCGACGGCTATGGATGTGGCCAGATTAGCTCTATTTATATTTTTCTGGCGACAGATAAGGTTCTTCATCTTCTTTTATGTCAAACTTATACAAATTCATGATGTCGCTGCCGCGTTCACTTCGCCATCGACAAAGCGTTTAGATAATGAAGATGACAAATTGGAAGCTGTGCCCCGTAGCTCGTCGTTTTAAATGTGTTCAGAACTCTACGCTCTTATTACTAATCTTAATTATCTTAATAGTTAACCACATACTCTTTATTACATCACTGAAACATAATTAACATTATGTACATTCTCTTAATATCTCCTGTTATTATTTAATGTAAACCTAAATTATAAGCTTAGATACCTGTAATGTTAGAAATAAGTTTCAGTTTGTAACAGAGAACAAATGAATAAAGTTGATCTTTTATGGCTTTATGATTATATATGAATGTACATATTAGAGGTATACGCCGCCGAGCCGCGCCGCCGCCGGGTTTTGTCATTTCTTACGCGCCGCCACCGAGTTACGAAAATATCGGCGCAGCGGCGGCGGCGTTTGGCGCCTAAGGAATTTTGTACAAAATTTTCATGTTGTATGCACATTGAAATACATCGTTGAAGGAACTAAATACTACTCGTATAAAAACACTATTTTACGAAATTAAAATTACATTTTGTTCGAGTACTTACGTTCGCTTGTTACGCGCAGAGTGCACTTGCCTAAAACGTATTCATGTAAATGCGTGAATA